CACCTCCCCCTTCTGGAAGGAAGGGCCATTGCTGCTGCCCACATGGGGAGGCCAGCCTAGGCTTTGGAAGGCAGGCCTAGCCAGGCCACCTTCCCTGACTCTGACATACAGGCCTTCCTAGCCTGTTCCCTGTGCATGATGGGGTGGTGGTGGTACAGAAGGGCCAGGCAGCCTAGATCTAAGAGAATACAAATAAACAAATCTCCCAACGAGCACCCCCCCCCAAAAAAAAAGCAGCCTTATGAGGGAGAGGCAGGCAAAGTCAAAGTCATACTTCTGGTTCTAGGCTGGGCCTTGGCTGGTTTCTCCCACAGTGCCTTATTTCTGGTGGAGTCTGTGAATCAAGTCAATCCCATGGTTGGTGGTGACACTCTAAGGGACCCAAGGAGAAAGGTTTCAGGTTCCAGCTTAAGGTCTTGGAACTCTGGATCTTAAACACTATTTTAGCTCAGGAATGCCTGGCAGCTCAGCGACTGTGTGATCTAAACAGCCACTTTTCTCTTAGGACACTTGCAGAAATCTGGCCAGCAGGGAAAGACGCTGAATCCTAGGAAGGCTCTTCCATCTCAATACCAATCCTTGTTAAGGAAAAGACAGGCAAGGGCAACCTGTCGGCATGGGAAGAGGCGGGCTCACATCTGACAGGTTGTTGTACTGCAGCTTCCCTGATGAATTTGCTTTGGAAATGTGGGTGGGAACGAGGATTTTAACCGAAGCCTTTTCTGTACATATGCACAGGCAGGAAAAACATTTTTAGGATGCTGGAGTCATTGTATAGTTACATGGTGTAATTGGGTTGGGTTAATTGTATTTTGTGACCTAAATTCTAGGATTCTTACAAATTCCTATGATCCTTCCTCTACCGCCCCGATAAATATCTACAGGGAAAGATCACAAATTGCTATACTTTTATTAATAAATTCAAAATGATGAGAGGGTGCCTGTTGCTCAAGCCTGTAATTCTAGCTACTCAGAAAGATGAGATCCAGAAGATAGGGGCTCAAAGCCAGCCCATGAAGAAAAAGTTTGCTAGACTTCATCTCCAAAATAACAACAAAAAAATCTGGGCTGGAGATGTGGATTAAATGATCAAGTGCCAGACAAGCAAGTGTGAGGCCCCAAGTTCACACCCTCTCTACTGCAAAAAAAAAAAAAAACCCCAAACTAGAGGCTATGGGAAGATTTCTCACCACTTATCAAGAAGGGTATTTTTGTCCTGCAAAGATTTCTTTTTTTTTTTTGTCAGTCATGGGGCTTGAACTCTGGGCCTGGGCGCTGTCCTTGAGCTCTTCAGCTCAAGGCAAGCGCTCTACCGCTTGAGCCACAGCTCCACTTCCAGTTTTCTACCGGTTTATTGCCCGGGCTGGCTTTGAACTGTGATCCTCAGATCTCAGCCTCCTGAGTAACTAGGATTACAGGCATGAGCCACCGGCACCTGGCTGTCCTATAAGGATTTCTAAAGAGGGCTGAGAAGGTGGCTCAGTGGTAGAGCGCTTGCCTTGCATGCCTGAGGCCCTGGGCTCGATTCTCCAGCACCACATAAGCAAAAAGAAAAAAAAGCCGAAGTGGCACTGTGGCTCAAGTGGTAGAGCGCTGGCCTTGAGCTGAAGAGCTGAGAGACAGCGCCCAGGCCCAGAGTTCAAGCCCCAAAACTGACCACAAAAAAAAAAAAGATTTTTAAAGAAAAACTTTATCATATGCAAAATTTAGATGTTTTTGAAGAAATCAGTTTAAATGTTTTCTTTATTCTCTTAGAACCTCTGCTAGGGCTGGGGATAGGCTTAGTGATAAAGCATTTGCCTGGTAAGTACAAGGCCCTGGGTACTGTCCCTGGCACAGGAAAATACTGTTTTTATTTTTTTGCCAGTCCTAGGGCTTGAACTCAGGGCCTGGCTGTTGTCCCTGAATTTTCTTTTTGCTCAAGACTAGCACTCCACCATTTGAACCACAGCTCTACTTCCAGCCTTTTGGTGGTTAACTGGAGATAAGAGTTTCATGGACTTTCATGCCTGGGCTGGCTTTGAACCTTGACCTTAAGACCATAGCCTCCTGAGTAGCTACTAGGATCATAGGAAGAGCCACTAGTGCCCAGCTGCTTCTGATTTTTAATGACAGCTATAATCTCAACTAAATAAAACATTTCCCAACGCTAGGAAATATGATACCACCATTATTGCTCTATGTTCCTTGCAAGTTCTTTCCCCCCTCCTTGGCATTACAAGAAAAGAACTCATTTCAAATAGACAAGAGACCAGGTAGCTTTTCAGAAACAAATCACTAATATTTATTTTGTGTGAAAAAAGTATCCCGTAATCCTAGCTATTAGGGTTTGAAGCCAGCTTGGGTAGGAAAGTCAGGTAAGAAAGACTCTTATCTCCAATTAACCAGCAAAAGGCCAGAAGCAGAAGTGTAGTTCAAGTGGTAGAGCATTAGCCTTGAACAAAATAGCTAAGGGACACTGTCCGGGCCCTGAGTTTAAGCCCCAATACTGGAAAAAAAGGAGAAGAAAGGAAGGAGGGAGGGAAGGAGGGAGAGAAGGAGGGAGAGAGGGAGGGAGGGAGGGAAGGAAGGAAGGAATGAAGGAAGGAAGGAAGGAAGGAAGGGAGTCTTTCTATACTGTAAGGACGGACAGAAGCTGGGTGACTTGGGAAGGAATTGAGGGTTTTCTTTACGGTGCAGGGTACCAGATTCCACGTTCACCTTCTGCAACAGTGCCTGCTATATAGCAGAGATGTCAGCTCAGATTTGTACTCCTCTCATTTAACTGGAATCACTGGGTCTGCAGAGCAAACAGATTCTAACTGTGGGTCCACATTAGAAATAATTAGCAAGTATCAATCATTAACACTCAAGAGCCCCTCTGGGTTGATTTTCAGTTTACTTGGCTCAAATGATTTCTTTAAAGGCTCGCTTGCTGATCTGTTGGTTTTTCTGACTTTAAATGCGAGCACCTCCCCACCACAGCCCAAACATAAAGGTCACCTTTGCAGTATTTCATAAATGACTCAAGGTTTTACAAAAGCAGTTTGTAGCAGTACTTAAGTGTCCAACAGAAGCCACTTGGTCTGCTAAACAATATCTCGACTGCACAGCTTCCTCTCACTGTTGGTGGATAGATAATGACACAGACAGTCACTATCACCGTGGCAACAGTACCCAGAACTATCAGAGGAAAATTGCACGTGTCACTGCAGGCTCTCCAGTGGCCACGCCTCAGCTTCCTCTGGTGCATGCTTTTTCTGCAAGTCTGGGGTGCTCTGGGGTACAGCCAACCCAGCGCAGGCTCCAAGACTACAGACGACTAGGCATGGTCCACCAATGCGAGCACCTACCCTCTCCCAAGCTAGACGGCACGTCAAGCAGTGGGGTATGCGATGGACAGGCCTAATGGGCCTAAGGAAGCCTTCTTTCCCTCCTCTACCCCACAGCGCTTCTATCTCCTTCCCACTGTCAGCACTGAACAACAGCTTTGGAACTGGGTCTCCTGGTAGATCCCTGCTGGCGCTGAGGGAGCAGGGCCGCTCAGGAAACCAACCCATCCATTTCTTTGTCTCTTTCTGAGTGTTGAGGATCGGACTCAAGAATCTGAGGCCTGTAGGGTAACCGTAAGCACCCTCCAGGCCTCCTTTTCCTTCCTTTTGCGGTGGTATCCGGGGTTTCAATGCGAAGCCTCCGGCGAGCTCGGACTGGTGCTCTACCACCCGAGCCAACACCTCCGCCCGGCCCGACTTCTGGCTAGTAATCCTGGAGATGAGGTCCGGCAGATTTTTCTGTCTGGGCTGGACTTACACCACGGTCCTGCGGATCTCGGGCTTCAGAGCGGCTCGGATCACAGCGGGGTGCCAGCGGGCCCATTTCCCTTTTTATTGCTGAGGCGGCGTGTGGGCGTCCCGCTGCGTCCCCCCAGGCTGGCCCTGAACCCTCGTCCCAGGCTGGGACCATCTGGCCTCAACTTCCCGGGCTGCTGGGGCCGCGGACACGCGCCGCCGCTCTGCGGAGCCCAGGCGGGCTGGAAGGCCGGCGAGGGCGCCGGCGACAGCACTACGCACGCGCACGCACGCACACACGCTGGACGTCCCGGCGGCGGGAG